CGACAGTATTCCAGCTGAGCTATTTTACAATCCTAAAAAAAATGATGCGGTTAAAGTGCTGCGCTCAATGTGCCAGCAAATTTGGAAAACTCAACAATGGCTTCAGTTTACGTTCCAATCCGAAAGAACGGAATGCCAAAGAATGTTCAAACTACTGTACAATTGTGCTTATTTCACATGTTAGTAAGGTGATGCTCAAAATCCAACAAGCTAGGTAGGCTTCAATGGTATGTGAACCGAGAAATACCAGAGGTACAAGCTGGTTTTCGAAGAGGTAGAGGAACTAGAAATCAAATTGCCAACATTTGCTGGATTATGGAGAAAATAAGGGTTCCAGAAAAACATCTGCTTCTGCTTCATTAACTGCGCTAAAGCCTTTGTGTGGATCATCACAAACTGTGGCAAGTTTTTAAAGAACCAGACCACCTTACCTGTCTCCTGAGAAAACTTGTATGCAGGGCAAGAAACAACAGAATCGTACATGGAACAATGGATTGCTTCAAAATAAATTAATACAGGTAGTCCTTGACTTACAACAGTTCATTTAGTGACCGTTCACATTAGTGTCCCATGGTCATGTGATCCGCTTTTGTGACCTTCTGACAAGCAAAATCAATGGGGAAGCCAGATTCACTTAACAACCAGGTTACTAACTTATCAACTGCAGTGACTCACTTAACCACTGAGGCAACAAAGGTCATAAAATGGGGCAAAACTCACAACAAATATTTCACTTATCAACATAAATTTTGGCCCAATTGTCATAAGTTGAGCACTGCCTACAGATCTGAATACCTCTGAAATTCTGTTCTCTTGGCAGTTCATTTGAGATGAGATGAACGACTCCCAGGGTCTCACAAGAGTTGAGCCACGGCAGAATAACTTCTCCTGCACCCCAAAAAAACAGAAGGGAAAACACTCATCTCTTGTTGAACATTGGCATAAAAACAATCTACGATGTAGAATAATTATATTTTGAGTGTGGTTTTGGGAAAATGTTCACTTTTCCAAAAGGTGACAACATTTTTATTTGTTTTCTGAATATTTTTGACTTTTAGCTATGATTCCTTTTGGTGCTGTCCATGGGGTTTTCATGGCAAAGATACTGGAGTGGATTGCCATTTCCTTCTCCAGTGGGTCACATTTTGTCAGAACTCTTTGCTATGACCTGTCCATCTTGGGTGGCCCTGCATGGCATAGCTCATAGCTTCATTGAGTTATGCAAGCCCCTTCGCCACGACAAGGCAGTCCCCTGGACTGCAAGGTGTTCAAACTGGTCAGTCCTAGAGGAGATCAACCCCAACTGCTCTTTAGAAGGCCAGATCCTGAAGTTGAAACTCAAGTACTTTGGCCACCTAATGAGAAGGAAGGACTCACTGGAGAAGAGCCTAATGCTGGGAAAGATTGAGGGCAATAGAAGAAGGGGATGACAGAGAGTGAGGTGGCTGGATGGAGTCACTGAAGCAGTAGGCGTGAGCTTAAATGGACTCCAGAAGATGGTAGAGGACAGGAAGGCTTGGAGGAACATTGTCCATGGGGTCGCAATGGGTCGGACACGACTTCTCAACCAACCACAACAACAACATCTATGATTTGGGGAAGAGCGATTCATTCAAAAAGTTAAGTCAGGGAATATAAATTAATGCAATAAAATCACGACTTATTATTCCTACATCACTTTGTAAATGGATCTCTGTGTGTCTATATGTGAGTGCGCACTTAGAAAACAATTCTCAGTGAGGGGTTGGGATGTTAGTTTCCAGCTGACCCAGCAGCCATTTGGAGAAAACTGATTTGTGAAACTGTACTTCATCTAATTATATCCCAATGCTTTCTTCTTACTACATTTCCTAGTAACAAATTATAGTATTTTAATAAACTAAACAAAAATGGTTAGTAAGCCAAAAAAGTGGACTTGTTGGGTGAATGAGACCATCCTATTAATTATATGGCTTGTTTGGGCAGAGGAGTTTTATTAACTTGTGTTTAAGGTTTAGCAGTGTTTCTCAACCTTGACAATTTTAAGGCATGTGGACTTCAACTCCCAGAATTCCACAGCCAGCATTGCATTGTCAAGGTTGAGAAACACTGGTTTAGAGTTTGAGTAGACATACATAGGATTGTTCTATCAGAAAGATTATTGCAAGGCTTAATATGCATCTATGAGGAATTGCGTCATTTCTTACCAACTTTATGTTTCAAGAACCAGCTTTAAAATTAACTCTTGTTCCCTTAAGTACCGTAAATTATTCCTCTTGAACTAACCCCAGGCTCTTCCCAAAGGTGCTTTTTCAAAAGGCAACTGGACTTTCAGTTCTCGACAACCAAAGAAATTTCTTTGATGAGAAGCAAAATGTCTTCAGGGAAAACCAAGAAAGTCCAAGGTGAAAAAGCACTTTGGGGACAACCATGACCTGGATGACTGAGAATCTCCATAGACCAGTGATGGCAAACCTTTTAGAGACTGAGTGCCCAAAAACTGTCCTGCCCCGCTCCATCCCGCCCCCTCCGCTCCGCTCCACTCCGCTCCGCTCCGCCCCAGCCCACTGCCTTCGCTCTGCCTACCCACAGGGCTACCCACTGCCTCCACGGCCCGCCGCAGATCACCCAGCCGGCCTAGTAGTGCCATGGCAGTCATGCCCTCCACTCGCACCATCTGCACGCGATGGGGCATGAGGGTGGAGTCCCCGCTGCCTGGCTGCCATGTCCTTGGTTGCACTGCTCTGTGCGGGCCGCACCTGGGGGCGACTCTCCAGGGGGGTTGTTGTAGAGGGGGCCGTGGGGGTAGGCGGGGCTGGGGTGATGGCTCACGTGCCCACAGAGAGGGCTCTGAATGCCGCCTTTGGCACCTGTGCCATAGGTTCGCCACCACTGCCATAGACCTAATCCCCGTGTCTTACACCATCTTCAGCAGCAGTACAATCTTCATTTAGCTTCTCCACTTCAGTCTTGGAGCAATTTGTTTTCCGAATTGTCAAGTCAAATCGATATTTTGTCCCAGCCACAAGCTGAAATTCAAGGAGAAAAATGATTAGCAACTGTATTTAGACTGGATGCTGAATAGCATAAACCCACAAAGAACAAAAAAACTTGGCTTGCTGTCTGGTGAGCTCATGTTGGATTCAGTGGCCCCAAGGACCCATTCCTTCTCTAGGATTCTAATAAAAACAAGCAAGTGAAACGGGCAAGGAAAGATGGTGCTCCCTTAGAGGCATATAAGAAGCTGCCATGGATCAAGTCAAACCATTGACCTATGATGCCCAGAATACTTGATGTTGCCTGGCAGGACACTCCAAAGGTTTGTGTCAGGAATTTCCTAGCCCTTAACTCAGACATGTCAAACAAAAAGGCCCGGGGGCCGGATGCGGCCCACGAAGTGGTTTCATGTGGCCCGTGAAGCCATCCTGGAAACAGTGAGGGAACGGCCCCCGCTGCCTTGGCCCTGGCCCAGGCCAGCTGGGAGCCAATGTACAATTTTGTGGTGGCCATCTATGCTGAAACACATTCAGTCTTAGCTCCATAAGCCCCCCCACGCCCCACATGGCCTGAGAGGAACAGTAAGGCTCCTCCAGTGGACCATGCCTTGGCGCTTGCCCCAGTCCCACCCCCTTCTGCCGGAGACCCTCAGATCTATCCCACTCCTGCCCAGGCCCCCACAGGCACCCTTGACGCAAACGATGTAGAGCTGGCCACACCCACCCAGTAGGCCACACCCACTCCATCCACGCCCACCCAGTAGGCTATGTTTTCTTAGCGAAGTTGCAGATATAGTAGTAGCAGTGATAAAAATCCAAACCTGTTTTGTGACTTCTCCTATTGCTACAATTCTGAAATGAAAGTCACTGTTGTTTTTTGCGTTAAACGATTCTATAGCAGCTTGTAGAGGCTCCCTCAGTTCTTGGCTGTCCTTTGCAATCGGGACTACGCAACCAAAACACGCATCAACGGGAGGCTCCACTTTTTCTTCAACTGTTGAAAATATATAGATAAAAATACAAGTTTATATCAGATTATTGTGAAAAGGAAAGATTACAAGAATATCAGCCTGCATCTATGTTATTTTTTGTAAGATAATATTGAACACATTTTTTTTTTCCCTTGCAAAAAATGCATGAATCCAAATTGCTCTGTGGCAGTTTGGAATTTACCGTGAGTAAATGGTTATTATCTATGGTTTCATCCTGGCCACCAATTTGTGCATATAAAAGGAATGCTTTATTCCACCCTACTAGACTGTACAACCTGTTTTCCTTGTTCCCTTCTGGGAGGAGGGGGCTTCATGGTATCCNACTTTGTCTGGTTAGTTGTGTCTGATGGGCTCTGCCCATTCCCTGCATCTTTTGGAACTATGGCCAGAGGAGGAGGATTATAGGAACTGTTGTTCAGCAACTTTATCAGGGCTTTCACATATATAGTAGAACAGGGCTTTTCAATCTTTTCACCCATTGTACCACTTTTAGAATATGGCAATATCCGAGTACCACCAGTTGCCTAGCAAGGTGTCAAAAACTTGATGACCAAAAAAAAAAAAAAAAGGAAAAAAGTGATAAAGTACAGGTAGTCCTCGACTGTTCGAAGTTACAATGGCACTGAAAAAAGTGCCCCCCAAGCCACAGCCGAGCAAGACACCTGCCTGCCCACCTGGCGGCGCTCTTCCTCCTGTCCGAGGTTTTCATTGTTGTGAGCATTTCTGTTGAGGATTGGCAGCGGGGGTGGGGTGGGGGGGGTGTTTGGTTTTTATTCCCCCCCGTCTGCTGGGTGATTGCAGCAGGTTTTGGTTACTTCACATGACCCTGGGACACTGTGACCGTCATAAATATGAATCAGTTGCCAAGCATCTGAATGTAAATCACAAGACCCTGGAGATGCTGCGACATTCCAGCTGATTGGCACTTCTTCTGGGCTCAGCAAAAGTGCCAGGATCAGCGCCGAGCTCCAGCTGGAGCCTGGCGCTGATCCTGGCATTTCCACTGAGCCCTGACAGCCCCGAAGAAGTGCCGATCAGCTGGAAAGCGGCACTGATCCTGGCGCTTCCGCTGAGCCCTGACAGCCCTGCAGCTCCAGCCATCTCTCGCTCAGGCTTGTGCGGTGCTGCCACCGGTTCAGTTCATTCCCCTCCCCCACTACCACTTTTCTAGGATGGTCGCGTACCACCTGCCAGGTGCCAGTATGGTACCCGTACCACTGGTTGAAAAGCCCTGTAGTAGAAAACCCTACAGAACTGAATGCATGCAATATGAATTTGTCATCATCGTGATGTACCAAGCAATACTGAATCAAGGAAGCAGCGGGTACAGAACAACGGTTACAAACCTTGCACTTTGCAGTCCTGTTCTGCTTGGACCAGTGTGTCTGTATTGTCAACGTGGGCAGTAACTGTACAGGAACCTTCCCGCTGGAAGGAGACAAAAACGAGAAGACTGAACCATGCTTTTATCAGGCAGCACCTTTGTCTCACTCGGGGTGATTTTTCCAGATGGCATCCCCGTGAGTATGACTGGCACAAAGTACGAGCCTCACACAAAGAATACACATTCCCGATTCCAGATACCATGCATCCACAGAAAAGAGCTTTTTTTGCCACCTGCACAGGCTGTCAGATTATCTTGGCCTCTACCTCTGCAGGATATGGGGAAAAGCTTTCATCCTTTCAAATCTTGAGGCAGAGCTCAGACAGAAGCCGAAAACCGATGCTGGGAAAACCAGAGACCAAGAGGGTCCTTCCAAGGGTCTGGTTAACCTTTAGAATTTCCAGGAATATCCCCCCCCCAAATCCCTGCAATTTTGCCCCCTGTGCTCTGTGGCCCTGCCCATCTCTTGCTGCCTCTAGCTGACCCTTCGCGGTCTCCTTGCTTGTCCAACCTGACTTCTTGCGAGGCAGATGTTAGCTGTGCAAAGTCGTCTTCTTGAGATTATGTGTGATGGTTTCACCATGAGACCTCTAGAAGAAAGCCATGCATAGCCAGCAGCTGCCTCGTGAAGGGCCAGGCTGGGAGGTCTTGTCAGCGGCGAGAAGAGAGTGCACAGAGTGGCAATGGCTGCAGAGTGCAGAATGGCTGCAGCTGGGGTCTAACGCTGGGTTATTGGGCTGGCATGGTTTGGTCTTCATGCTCCACTGCTGGGCTTGGAGCAGCTGGGTCTTCATGCTTCACTGGGGCAACTGGGACTTTGTGGTTGCTGCTGGGTTGGGGTGCTTAGGGCTTTGAGCTGTGCTGCACTGCTGGGCTGGGGTGGATGAGGCTTTGTGCTGTACTGCTGGGGCTTGTGCGCCCTCGTGTGTCCAGCAGCAGCCACTGCAATCCAAGTTCTCTTTTGACTTCCTGTTGGCTTCCCCATTGCCTTTGTTTGTTGCAAGATTAAAGGAAATTGTAAGAAACTCATAGCTTAATCATTTGCGATTCTTGCTTAACAACAGCAATGAGGACTGTTGGTTACTGTTGTTAACTAAGGACTACCTTTGTGTACATGTAACATTTAAAATTAAGCAAGGATGGTTGTACTGTATTTCTTCTTTTTTAACAAACTGATTTTTTTTTTTAAACTTACTAATCCTGACAAGGCCCATATTGCTGACGCTGATCTATCTCAAAGGAAGTGCTGGCCATTTCAGCCACATCCTTTACACCAGGGGTGTCAAACTCAATTTCATTGAGGGCCGCATCAGCATTGCGGTTGCCCACGGGGGGACGGGTGGGTATGGCCAGGGTGAGTGCAGCCTACTGGGTGGGCGGGCGTAGATGGAGTGGGTGTGGCCTACTGGGTAGGCATAGCCAGCTCTACATTATTTGCACCAAGGGTGCCTGTGGGGGCCTGGGCAGGAGTGGGACAGATCTGAGAGTCAGAAAGAGCAGAAGGGGGTGGAACTGGAGCAAGCACCAAGGCATGGTCCATTTCTTCATTCCTCAAAAAGGGTGACACCTCCCCAGCATGCACCCAGGGGGCGGGGCCGACAGCAGGGGCTGGTTCCTCGTTGTTTCTCGACGGCCTTGTGGAGCTAAGACTGGATGCGTTTCAGCATAGATAGCCACCACAAAATTGTACATTGGCTCCCGGCCGGCCTGGGCCAGGGCCAAGGCAGCAGGGGCCATTCTCTCACTGTTTCCAGGATGGCTTCACGGGCCACATAAAACCACTTTGCGGGCCACATCCGGCCCCCGGGCCTTGTGTTTGACATGTCTGCTTTACACTATCTAGTTAGGAGAAGGTATTATTGAAAGAGCTTTCTTTCTTTATTTGTGTGTATACACATACACACCCATATACATATATGCATGGACACATGGATATATTTGTTTCTTTCAATTGCCAGTAGGAGGATGCCAGGTGAAGTACTTTTACAAATGAGATGGAGCAGTTACTGGTAAGTTCCAAATGAGTCTGGCAAGAATATGTGTGTGCAAGTACAGTATATTACACCATTGCTATTGTTCCTAGGAGCATGATAAAAATGAAGTTCACTTACACCTTCAGGAAGGTGTCTACATGCTGGACTCAGATCTGGAAATTCATTCTTGGAACAATTTGTTTCTTTCACTGAATATTCCAAACGGTAATTCCATCCATTAACCACCTGCAAGAAATTTAAGAGAAGTTGCACGGAACAAGTGGTACAATTGCTTTGAAACTCATCAAATTTGGAACTCAACACATTTTGATGAGAAAATTTGGTCCTGGTACTTGTCATTTATTTGGTACTCAACGTGGAAGCTACAGGTAGTCAGTGTCGGTTGCCTCATGACTCACTACCCTTTCCACCCAAAACAAAAGTTTAGTCACACAGTAGCTCTTGCCCTGTGCGCGTCCGCTTGCGATATTATCTAAGCTTTTGTTGTCATTTTGGATAATTTTGTGCTTTTTCCCCCTCATCAGTACAAGTAAAGTGTTTATTTTATTTAATCTAAGTATTTATTCATTTTTAGATTTGTTTCTCATGTAATGATATACAACCTTATCTTTTTACATGTTGCCTTAAAAATGTGCATTGTCTTTGGAAACGCATTAAAGCTATTTACATTATTCCTTATGGGAAAAATGTGCTTGATATTCCTTGTTTTTGGCATTAATTGCACCTCCCGGAACCAATTAATGTCAAGTACTGTGGTATCACTGTAGTTTAAATAAAACTGCACAGACACTGTGCATTTTATCAACATTTGACAGGGCTGTGTTGTTTAGTTTAACAAATGAAGGTTTCAAAAACATTCACAAGGGAAGGATATTCCACATTCCACATTTTCAGATTTTAACTATAAATCTATCCAAATCACCTAATTCTGTAAAGTTGAGATAGGGAATTATAGGGACATATACAAACCTGACGTGTAACTTTGTTTACTTCTCCAATTTCGTATAAGGCAAAGTGTTGACTCTGATTGTTAAATTGCCGTAAGGTGAATCTCACAATAGGAAGCACTTCCAAGCTCTTAGGGTCTATGGGATGCCAGCAACCTAGACATTTAGCAAGGGATCGCTCTACATTCTCCTGTCCTGAAAGCAAGCCAACGATAAATTAGAAAAAGCAAAACAGAAGTAAAGAAATTAAAAGTGGAAATTACTGCAGCGCTCAGTACGCAAACAGGTAAAGGTTAGCGATTAAAAGGAATGAAAGGAATAAAAGAGTAGTTTAGGAAAGGAAAAATGACGTGGGGCCATTCATCTTAGAGAAATTAATGGGTAGAGAAAAAATTATATTGTACCTGGCCTTTTAAACACTGGAGTTTATTACATCTAAACTTGTGGTTGTTTCCACATACATTTAAATACAAGTGAGATCTAGACTCAGCCTTCAAGCAATATATATATTTGGTTGTTATAGTCTTGCTGGACAAAGTGACACACACCACTCTACTCCCTCCTAAGGACCACCAAGTCTATTAGGACTATAACTCCCACAATTCCTTTCCAGAATTTTTCTGGCTATGAATTCTGGGAGTTGTGATTGCAACATACTGTATTAGGAAGGAATGAGTTGGAAGAAGACTAACAGAGAGGATGAACATTAGAAATGCATAGTAGGCCTCCCAAAGCTGTTTATGGGCTAGAACAGGGCTTTTCAACCAGTGGTACAGGTACCACCTGTGGTACATTGGCACCTGGCAGGTGGTACGCGACCATCCTAGAAAAAGTAGCGGGGGAGGGGAATGAGCTGAATCGATGGCAGCACCGCACATGCCTGAGTGAGAGATGGCTGGAGCTGCAGGGCTGTCAGAGTTCAGCGGAAGTGCCAGGATCAGCGCCAGGCTCCAGCTGGAGCTCGGCACTGATCCTGGCGCGTCTGCTGAGCCCAGAAGAAGCGCCGATCAGCTGGAATGTTGCAGCATCTCCAGGGTCTTGTGTTTTACATTCAGATGCTTGGCAACTGATTTATATTTATGACGGTCACAGTGTCCCAGGGTCATGTGAAGTGACCAAAGCCTGCTGCAACCACCCAGCAGATGGGGGGAATAAAGACCAAACACCCCCACCCCACCCCCACTGCCAATCCTCAACAGAAATGCTCACAACAATGAAAACCTCGGACAGGAGGAAGAGCGCCACTGGGTGGGCAGGCAGGTGTCTTGCTCGGCTGTGGCTTGGGGGGCACTTTTTTCAGAGCCATTGTAACTTCTAAGAGTCACTAAGTGGACTCTTGTAAGTCGAGGACTACCTGTACTTTATCACTTTATTCCTTTTTTTTGGGTCATCAAGTTTTTGACACCTTGCTAGGCGACTGGTGGTACTCCAATATTGCCATATCCTAAAAGTGGTACAATGGGTGAAAAGGTTGAAAAGCCCTGGGCTAGATCAGGGGGTCCCCAAATATCGGGCCATGGCCTATTTGGAACCGGGCCACATGAGAGGCGGGCTAGTGGGAGCATGTGCATACATGCACGCAGCTCCGCTCATGTGAGCAGCACACCAAAGGCTTCTCTCTTGCACGAGTGGAGTTGCGGTCCTGCGCAGACTGGTCTGCCACTTGCGTGGCCTGGTTCCCCTCTCCCCTCCCCCCCAGCCAAGCCGCCAAGCCACCTGAGTCTGAAGGAGCACAAGATTGCACCCCTCTTCTCCATGCCAAAAGCTTTTGCAAATGAATGAAAGGCTTCATGGCAGCGATCTTGTGCTGCTTCAGACCTTCCATCCTTTTGCAAAAGCTTTTGGTGCAAAAAAGACTGAAGGACTGGGAAAGGTGGCCCGGCTCGGGTGTGTGTGTGTGCGTGAGATGGGAACTCACACGGCCCACTTCCCCTCTCCCTCCCCCAGCCGGGCTGCCTAGTTGCAAAGGTTGGGAACTGCTGGGCTACAGAAGGAAACTCCAGAAACCATATAACTCTATAAAATAAGATAAGATAAGATAAACCTTTATTGTCATTTTTATACTGTGGGCACAATGGCACACATCAAAAATGAAATTTAGTTGCCCGCTCTCAAAGTGAAACACATACATGACACAAACCTAAACATACTATGAACAACATATGTATAGACCCACATCCCTACATATATGTAGCAATAAATATTAAATATTGTCCATCCTGAATATATAACGGAAGGAGGAAGCTTGAGAGTTCGCAAGGTTAATGCTGTATGGAATGAAACTCTGGCTGAATCTGGATGTTCTGCTTCTGAGCCTGCCGTGTGCTGCAGCTGCCAAAAAGGCCAACACAGTGCTGGGCTGCATTAACAGAGGGATAGAATCAAGATCATGTGAAGTGTTAATACCACTTTACAATGCCTTGTTAAGGCCACACTTGGAATACTGCATCCAGTTTTGGTCACCACGATGTAAAAAAGATGTTGAGACTCTAGAAAGAGTACAGAGAAGAGCAACAAAGATGATTAGGGGACTGGAGGGTAAAGCATATAAGGAACCGCTGCTGGAATTGGGTATGTCTAGTTTAACGAAGAGAAGGACGAGGGGGGACAGGATAGCAGTCTTCCAATATCTCAGGGCTGCCACAAAGAAGAGGGAGTCAAGCTGTTCTCCAAAGCGCCTGAAGGCAGGACAAGAAGCAATGGATGGAAACTAATCAAAGAGAGAAGCAATCTAGAACTAAGGAGAAACTTCCTGACAGTGAGAACAATTAACCAGTGGAACAACCTGCCTCCAGAAGTTATAAATGCTCCAACACTGGAAGTTTTTAAGAAGAGACTGGACAGCCATTTGTCTGAAATAGTATAGGGTTTCCTGCCTGAGCAGGGGGTTGGACTAGATGACCTTCAAGGTCCCTTCCAACTTTACTATTTTTATTATTATTATTAGATACCACGAAGCCCCCTCCTCCCAGAAGATAACAAGGAAAACAGGTCGTGAAGAGGATGTGTCATGTCCCAGACAATCTTACGGACCCTGTTCAAGCAGCGCTTCTGTTCTATGTCCTGGATGGGAGGGAGGGAACTGCTATGCTTCAAATGTTGCTGCAAAATTTACCTTTTTCCATATTTTAGTATCTGCTTCAACTTGTTCAAATTCAGGACAACCATGTATCAACTATGCTGTAGAATTAATAGTGATTAAATCTCTAATAGAGTTGGAGAGGGGTGTGTGGAGAAATTGTCCTGGTTGTCCCCGTTTTTATCCAAGTGCAAAGAGGAATTTTTCCATAGGCAGAGGAACTAGAGGTACATTTCTTGTCGTTTTGAATTTTAACTTTGCAAACACAATATCTTGGTCACTGCATGCTGCTGACCACTAGGTGTCACCATTACATTGTGGACATGTTTTAAACCAAGAAAGAGTTTTTATTTAAAAAAAACCCTGCCTTTTTATTTTAAAAAGTTTAGTTCAGTGATGTCTCTTAATAATCTGAGATGCATTTGCACAGCCATTTTACACAGGGCTTTCTGGAGAAGGACTAACTTTTGTGACTAACATATATTACAAATCCTTATAACTGATAGATGTTAAACTTTTTACACTAAACTTGTGAGAACTGTACTGCCATCTCTGTAGAATTCTATTTTTCATATACAATTACAAAGTGGGTGTGAGATAAGGCCCATCCTATCAGTATGTTTTCCTTTGGGGTGTGTGGTGTCACTAGCAGCTGTTCCTGTTTAGCTGTTTTTCTCTTTTAACGTGCAGCTTCCCTGTACCTTGTACTGAAAGGTTGACTATCATTAAATATCTTAAATAAATGCCATTTTATTTGATTCTTACAACACTAGGAGAAAGGTCAAATGGAAGCTTAGAAAGTACATTAGGGGGCAGTTTCATTAAGGCATGTAATAGACCTTGGTTCATTATAGTTTGTCACAGTCAGCCCAATGCTCAGATTCAGCACTTAACGAGTTATTATTAGATTTTTAAATTTATTTATTTATTTGTTTGTTTGTTTTATTACATTTATACGCAACACATCTCATTGTCGGAGATTTTTATAAGTAACTACGAGTTATTATTAGATTTTTAAATTTATTTATTTATTTGTTTGTTTTATTACATTTATATGCAACACATCTCATTGTCGGAGATTTTTATAAGTAACTCAAGTTGGCAAACATACCTAATACTCCTTCCTCCTCCTATTTTCCCCACAACAGCCCTGTGAGGTGGGTTGAGTTGATAGAGAATGACTAGCTGAAAGTTACCCAGCTGGCTTTCATGCCTACAGTTGACTAGAACTCACAGTCTCCTGGTTTATAGGGCAGCACTTTAACCACTACACCAACTGGTTCATCACCAGCTATGGCCATAATCAGTCAGGATTTATATCTGATTGGGGATTATAGTGTTGCAAGTCAGCNCCCCCCCCCCCCAGAGAAGGAAATATTTTGAAGAATATTAAAAAAGGCAGAATATTATACTTCCCCAAAGGAATAAAAGAGAAAAATCTTAAAATAGAAACCAGCTCCCAGTCTCCTTCCCTCAAGCAGGCCAGCTTTTAGAAATGCAGATTTGGGGCCACATAAGCAAAATGCCTTCAGCCCCAGCCCCAGAGAAGGTTTGAGATGATGGGATTAGAAAAACAAACACTACAGGACAGGAACATGACCTTTAGGACATAATAGGATTAATCCACCACCATTAGAAATACCAAAAGGGCACATTCAAGCTCAGGTCAAAGTACATGGCACAGGAACAGGAACGACTTCAAATACAAAGGTATAAAAAGCCCACCTATCCCAACTCCATTTTGTCAGCTGCCCCAGAACCTCATGCTGTTGGTTCTGTTCTTCAATAAACAGAACCTTCTTTCCAAACAGCCTCCATTTTATTTATTCCCGGCTTGGACTTAACTGATGATTTTTCTTTCAACAATAGGTTTCTCCACATAACCACTTCTACCCCCTCAATCTACTGGTCACTGAAGATGTGTCTACATAACAGAGATCCCATCTTGCTAGAAGAAGCTGAAACCAGTCCAAGGTGATCTAGCAGGAAAAAGCTTTTCCATGGGAAAAGACCACATCTTGTCTGGTAGAAGAACTATGAAACTTTATGGTTGGCAGAGTGACTACTTTTTTCTTTTTTCTTTTTTTATTTGGTCAGTGATCTTAGTGCAGCCGAAATACAATTTTCCACAAAGTTGGCAGGTCCATTAGAAAGCAGAATGTGTGTGTGTGTGTGTGTGTGTGTGTGTGTGTGTGTGTGTGTGTGAAGTGAGGTTGTGACTGGAAATCTCATTTCTTTTTCACCCATCTCCATTAGTCAAAGTTTTGGAGAAAAAGTTTAAAAGTTTAACTGTGATAAGCAAGGGTGTGTTTTTGGAGCAGAACATCTAGCACAACCTAGTTTCTTTTTATTGTTGTTTAAGGGTATTTGGATTAATTAAGATAAGAAATGGAGTAAGGTATTGAGGGGCAAGGCATTCATTGTACCCTCCAAAATCCCTCATCACTAAAATAGAACTGATTTTTCCCCTGGGGATTTTATGGAGTAAAATGAATATCTTATGTAGTAATTTTTGGAAAAAGATAAAGGGCTGAATGGTTTAAAAGCCTTAACTTTAAACCATTCAGCCCTTTATCGTTGTCTAAAAATTCAAAGATCCCAAACATTTTTCCCCCTGCACATTCTATTTCAAAAATACGCAATTCCTTATATGGCAACTGAGCAATCCACTAAATGTAGTTTGACCTGTGATGTACTGAATTACACAATGGAAAACAAGGTCAACTTACTCTGGTATCACCCTTTCCTGATTTTTTTTCTTCCCTCACTAGTATTGGCTTAAATCTGCCCACTGATTCTTTTTTTCTCCATTATCATCAAGAGCAGGATAGAAAAATGGAGATTTTTCTGAATGCTAACTTAAAAGTTACTCACCTGGGCTAATTTTGCAATTCTGTGAAATGGAAGAAAAATCTTGCGACTCAGTATCAATATCAGCTGTACAGTTTCCATGATGCTGTGAGAGAAGCAAAAAGAGACATCAATTGAGTTCTTATATGTTAAGTGGGATATCACAATTACCTATCAAGAGTTTGTAAATCCACTTTCCACTGTTAAGAAACAGAACTGATCACATTTCATAGATTTTTGATATTGTTGAATAAACAATCAATGGGTTCTTACTGAGATCTTCGCTATCTGTACTTAAATACAGGTAGTCCTCAACGTACGACCACAATTGAGCCCAAAATTTCTGTTGTTAAGTGAGATATTTGTTAAGTGAATTTTGCCCCATTTACGACCTTTCTTGCCTCAGTTGTTAAGTGAATCACTGCAGTTGATAAGTTAGTAATCCAGTTGTTAAGTGAATTTGGCTTTCCCCGTTGATTTTGCCTGTAAGAAGGTCGCAAAAGGTGATCACATGATCTTGGGACACTGCAACTGTCATAACTATGAGTCAGTTGCCAGGCATCTGAATTTTGATCACATGATTATGAGGAACCTAGAAAGGTTATAAATATGAAAAATGGTCATGTCATTTTTTTCAATGCAGTTGTAACTGACTGGACGAGGACTATCTGTATTGGAGATAAGATCCTACATTTTTTTATAATGTGTGATGGAGCACAGGCAGACAGATCTTTGGGGAGACAAATAAAGCATCGTATTTTCTCAGTTAGGTAGATGGTATATATGTCTTGAGTGGTTTTTTTGATGCACCTTATCGGCCCAAATATGGGAGGAAGAAATCAGCCCAGGTTCGAATCTCAGAAGGGTATGGCTGGCTGATGAGAGCTAATTAGCTCGAAATAGCTATCCCAGTCCCCCTTTAACTCTTTGTTAGCAATCCCCAAAAATGTAGCATATATCTATATCTATATCTATATCTATATCTATATCTATATCTATATCTATATCTATATCTATATCTATATCTATATCTATATCTAGATCTAGATCTATATCTAGATCTAGATCTAGATCTAGATATAGATATAGATATAGATATAGATATAGATATAGATATAGATATGGATGGATAGATAGAGATAGATATAGATATAGATATAGATATAGATATAGATATAGATATGGATGGATAGATAGATATAGATATAGATATAGATATAGATATAGATATAGATATAGATATAGATATAGATATAGATATAGATGGATGGATGGATGGATGGATGGATGGATGGATGGATGGATGGACGGACAGGCGGACGGACGGACGGACAGACAGACAGATAGACAGACAGACAGACAGACAGACAGACAGACAGACAGATAGAGTTTAAATAAAAAAAAGCTCCTAATGTAATTCTAACTCAATAACTCAATTTCTGCCCAAATCTGATAAAAATCTCTTTTCCTTCTATTGGCCTTTAAAGGTCAGGTGATGACACCAACTGGGCACAGAAGGCCGGGATATTTTTTAATGGGCCAACTGGTCGCCACTACAGTCACACATGTAGACTCAACAGTCACATGACAATATAGGCCAAAGGGGCAGCTTTAAGGCATGTGGGCTTCAACTCCCAGAATTTCTCAGCTAGCCTATTGGTTAGACTAGAGAATTCTGGGATTTGAAGTTCACATGTCTTAAAACTGCCAAGAAATCCACCTCAAACTGTAGTCCCCTTCCTTGAGGCTGGTGCCAAAATGCAGTTTTACCACTAATCTGTTTTAATGGCATCTTTTGCCTGGTTGCATATGGTGATCCTGGCAGCCCTATATAATGTATACCTCTCTCTTTCTTCTTGCTCTCCCCTATAAAACTCTTTCTGCCATGTCAAAGGAGGAAGAATGAATACTTACTCCTTCTGAGATACCAAAAAGATCACAGTTTTGCCAAGGCTCATCTGCATCAATTGGACACGCGGTTTCTCTTACTTGATAGACGACATGGAACTTTTTTCCAGGGCCTGCCTGAAAAGAGAACGTACATGAGTGCTGTTGTAGTTTCATTTATGTATTTAATAAGCTGATACGGCCGCCCATCTTGAACACATGATTCTGGGTGGCTAACAGTTAAAACAACATAGGAATAAAGTGAAACACAGCCAATGATTAAAACTATAAATAACATAATTTATCCCAAAGCTGCAATCTTATTTTGATGGCCAATCCACCCGTTTGGTCCATGTCCTAGCAATTAAAAAATCCGCCAATGTTCTTCTGTGTTTCTACAGCATGTAATGGTCCAAAGAACCTCAAAGAAATAGTTAAAGTATCAATACAGGTAGTCCTCAGCTTGCAACTGTTCGTTTAGCAACTGTTTGAAGTTACAATGGCACTGAAAAAAGTGACTTCCAACTGATCCTCATACTTATGACTGTCACAGCCTCACCACAGTTATGTGATCAAACTTTGGGTGTTTGGCAACCAGCATGTACTGTATTTAGAACAGTCCAGCATCTTGGGGTCATGTGATCACCATTTTTAACCTTCCCAGCTGACTTACAACAAGCCAAGTCAATGGGAGAAGCTAGATTTGCTTAATGACTGCAGTGATTTGCTTAACCATGGTAAAAAAAAAGTTGTGAAATTGGGTATGACTGTTCTTAACAACCACCTTGCTTAGTGATGGATATTCCTGGTCTCAAATGTGGTTGTAAGTTGAGGAATACCTGCAATAGGTTTTGTATAGAGCTGGGCAACACTTTGGATTCAGAGAAGGAAAGTTGTTTTCCTAGGACTGTGCAAGCAACCTCCCCTTGCTGCCACATGATCACAAAAAAAGACCCATTTGATTTAGGAAGTTTCCAACAATGGCTCTATTTCTGCAGCCACAAAGCCTCAGGACTTCCGCCCCTTGGAATCCAAGCAACCCCTCATTCCCTAAATATTATAATAGAGTATATCTGTAGGGCGGGGACTTGATGGCTCACCTGAGCGCCTTGAAATGGAGCAAGCTCCCATTACTTGCCCCAGCTCCTGCCCATCTAGCAGTTGGAAAGCATGCAAAAATGCGAGTAGATCAATAGGTACCACTTTGGTGGGAAAGGTAACAGCGTTTTGTGTTTCGTCCCATGCTCTTGAGTTGCAGGATATTGTCATGCTGGCCACATGACCGTGGAAAAGTTTTCAGGCAACGCTGGCTCCCTCGGCTAAGAAACAAAGATGAGTACTACCCCCTAGAGTTGGATACAACTGGACAGGGATTTCTTTAGCTTTATATCTGTAGGATCCTAGATTAAGAAATTGTTCTTCAGCTTTAATTAAGGAAACCTTCATCGGGAGTGACCATTCTTCCATACAAAAGTTTCCCAAACAACAATGCCAGCAAAATTAGTTTAGTGCTAGCTCTTTTGCTGATTTGCTGTTTTTTTGTCAGTGTAGAAATGTTTTACTTTTACAACTCTCATCCAGGTAGAAGTGCTATGGTCCAAAGAGAAGTTTACACCTTAACTGCTGCTTTAGAGACAAAAATGCATGCTGGCTCCGGAATTCTGGGAATCCAAATCCAACCTCTTAAAGTTGTCAAGGTTGCGAAATCTTAAAGCTAAATAACTTTGGAATTATCACACCAGCTTCAAGAATTTAGAACTTTATTGGAATCAAAATTCTTGCAGGTGTCTGCTGTGCTGCAAAACAGTCCTTTCAATTCAAGAGTCTTATGAAGGCAAATCAAGTTGAAATCCAAAGCAAACTTTCAGTAAATGTGTAACGGATCAAATATTTAACCTCTGTAAACACTGTCTGATTTTTGCTTGGACAACATGACTGTTGGAGGTACATGCCTATTTGTCATGTAACATCTACTGCTTTAATCTGGGGATCAATGGCATGACTCCATTTTGCCCACTGAGTACAATCCCAAGGACTGAGCCACAGAAAGGGGAAGTGCTGGAGTGGGACCACAACAAAAATATAATCCAGTTGAATTTAAGTTAAATTAGGTGCATGCAGCTCCTGTGATCAATCCCACTGTTTATGCCTAGATACATAAACTACATTAGCGCCAGTGGTGGGATTCAACCTGGAGGAGGCCTCCCAGGCCTAGAATGGCCCACCGGAAGTGCATGGATGCCAATTCTGGAAGCCCATTCTAGGCCTCAGAGGCCCATGCCTGCATCGAATAAGAGAACCGGTTGTTCAGGTATTTGAATTCCACCACTGATTAGGGCTTATCATGATGAGCTACTTATATTAGGATAGCTACAATATCCTAAACCACAAATAATTCAACCTCAGTTTTGTGTTGTTTGTCATGGTTTTGCATTGTTTTGCTTAATTCCATGGAAAGATATATTAGAAGTATTAATATTGGATGGTCTATTGTAGTGATGGTGAACCTATGACAAGCGTGTCAAAAGTGACATGCCACAAAGTGTTAAACCAATGCCTGACAGCTAGTCTTGAAAGCATGCTCCATACTCTTGCAATTTTGGGAGGTTGTGAGGCCATGTGAGAACGAAGTGTGCTCTTGCATAGCTTTTGGATCCATTGGAAGTTGCATGAGAGAGCCGTGCTTTCCTGTGGTTTTTGGAGACTGCATAGGCCATGAAAGAGCATTCTCTGAAGTTGCCTCAAGAATGATATTCCAAAGCAGTGGTTCTCAACCTTTTTAATGCCGCGACCCCAACCGGTCGTAAGTCGAGGACTAAACCGGTCGTAAGACGAGGACTAAACTGGTCATAAGTCGAGGACTAAACCGGTCGTAAGTCGAGGACTACCCAACCGGTCGTAAGTCGAGGACTTTCCCTGCCCGGGAGCGCCGCGCATGCGTGGTTCCGCCCCCTGCGCCGGCCGAGGCGTAGCTGGCAAGCGGCAGAGATGGAGCAGGCCGACCACCAGCTGGCCCAGCCCAAGGGAGGTAAGGCACCCTCCGGAAAAGGGGAAAAAATGGCAGACAAAAAAAATGGTGGACAGCCTTGCTTGGCGACCCCCGTGAAATGGTCAATCGACCCCAAATGGGGTCCCGACCCACAGGTTGAGAACCACTGTTCCAAAGGTACTTCAAGGAAAACATCTTCAAAGGAAAACAAAGTCCAGTTGCCTTTTGAAAAAGCACCTTTGGGACAGCCGTGGCCTGGATGACTGAGAATCTCCACAGACATTCAAGAAAGAAGGCCCCACGCAACCTGGAGCGCCCTTGTGGTGCCTTGGGGAATGATGTGAGGCAGCCTTTTTGAGTGACAGCAGTGGGGCTAGGATTGAAGTTGAACGCTGGGCCTCTACTTCAGGCCCAGCCTTGGGGTTGCTGCCAAATGCCACTGTTCAGGGTGGCCTAGATGGGGGGAGGGGGGGCAATAAAGAATTCTTTCTTGACACCTCAGCAGAGTCAAGTTAAGAATTTTTCAAATTTTTCAAATTTCCAAATTTCCATGTCCAGCCCAAAAGCTTTGCCACCATTGTTCTAGTGCAGGGATGTCAAACTGCCGGCCTGCAGGCCGGTTGCATCATGCGGAGGCCGCGCCCATCCCAGTTCCAGCAATGCGAAAAAGTCACGATATGTTGTGACACGTCACGTGACGTGGCAAGTTTGACACCCGTGTTCTAGTGGTTAAGGTACCAGGCTAAAAGCCAGGACACTGTGAATTCTAGTTCCACCTTAGGCATAAAAACCGGCTGGGTGACTTTGGCTCTCAACCCAATCCACCTCACAGGGTTGTTATTGTGGGAAAAATAAGAGGTATTTTATAAGGAGTATTACATAAATACTTCATTATAGAAATACTCCTTAGAAAATAAAGAGTATTTTATTTATTCATTTTTATTTATCTATCCTATTTCGGAACATCCCATCTCCCTCACAGAAATAGAGAGGAATGTTTGCTGCCTTGAGTTATTTACAAAAAAATAATAATAAAGGCAGGATAAAAATAAATATTTTTTAAAATAAAATCCCCTCATTTCCAATTCCCAGTTTATGTCTGCCAGCCTCTTCCAAGAGAGCCTTTTATAGTCTATTATAATCTATTAATAATATGTGGATGCAAACAACTAATGCAAAGAAGAAAAGGTAAAATCTGTATGAAAGAATAAGCTAAGGTATTTGACTGTGACAAATTTCCTAAAGTGAACTTAGTTAAGATTTGGATGGAAGTGAATTAAGAGACACCAAGGCTGGTGGTTTTTTTTTTAGACTGGAGCATTCTCCGCCCCTCCCCCCCAAATCTTAAAAAGGTATCAATAAACCATATTCATATTGACAGAAAAAGTCATCAGGACCTGAGCTAGAGTTGGAGGGTTTACCTTGCTAAAGATAAGAAATCCAGCTGCATCTCCATTTAAAGTGACTGATTTTTCCGATTCCTCTGCTAACATCTCCTTTAGTGCAGAGACATGGATCAATTTTAGCATTACCGAAGACTTCAAATTTATGGAAATCCAAATTAAACAATGTTAGATGAAACCACCAAATGGCTGCATCATATTACATTTGATATGGCAAAGCAGCAGAATTGGAAATATTGCTCTCCAAAAATGTGTGAGCATAGCTCCAACAATTCCCCCAATTCTGGGGGCTGAAATCCAATGTACTTGAAAAGTACCCCCAGATTTATGAAGGTTGTTTGAAGACTTGAAAGAATCCCTGCCCCCCCCCCAAAAAACAATTTTTTTTTGTAAATAAAATACTTGCTTGGAGTGCAAATCCCCATGCAGCTTGTGGAATTACATTGAGCTGAAGTTCAATATTTTTGGATTATTTTAGGAAGGGTCCACGTAAGTCTGGTGGAATGGAAAGGGGCAATTTTTTTAAAGATGGGGGAATGGGATTGCGAAAGAGAAAAAAAACTGAAATCGAACAAATGAAATACAGTAAGGATGACTACTCGCCATGCATGTAATAATTTTTAATTTCTGTTAAATTAAACATTAAATCTGGGAGAAATTTTCAGATGACCACCATTCAGTCGTGGGTGGAGGGTGCTGATGGTGCATTCTTGTGCAAGTCCCCAATTATGAAATTCACATTAATTAGATTTTTATGGTTCTGATGGTTACCAAATTTACTTACTATTCTGTAGGCATGAAGGATGACATTGAGAGCGAATTTATTTCCTTGATTTCTCTCTTCATTAAGTGCTTTTATTGCTCTAGCCACAGCTTCAAAAACTTCTGGGTCATCACAGCCCACTTCATCTGGGAGAGGACTAGCTTGGCAAAGTCCAATGCTGAGGACTAGCAGAATGAAGACTTTCATATCCAGGTGAGAGAAGCTCCTTTGAGCTTCTGATGAGCGTAGAAAGAGGAGAAAGAGCTTCAAGATAACTGATGAGGTATATCTTCCTAGCAGATACCGGAGAACTCAAAGTAAACAAAGCTATTTCATGGCCTCAAATCATAGTCTATATGCAATGTAAACAACCTTTGAGGTTTATTTAAGTTTTTTTTTTTAAAAAAAACAACAAGTTTATTCACCTGCAGTTCACAATGCAAGTTGATATTTTACAATCTCAAGGTCAGAACATACGGTTTTGACAGTACGTCACTTTGGGTAACTTCAAGGACATTTTCCGGAATGATAATACAAGTGGTCAGTGATGGGATTCAGCCAGTTCGCACCACTTCAGCAGAACCGGTAGCTAATTTTTTGTTGCTCAGACCCAGAATGGATTTCTGGAAGCGGCATCCACACAGAGAACCGGTTGTTCACATATTTGAATCCCACTACTGCAAGTGGTCCTTGACTCACAACTACAACTGAACCCAAAATATTTGTTTCTAAGCGAGACAGTTGCTAAGTGGAGTTTTACCCCATTTTACAATCTTTCTTGCCGCAATTGTTAATCACTGCAGTTGTTAAGTTAAGTAACACAGTTGTTAAGTGAATCTTACTTCCCCATTGACTTTGCTTGTCAGAAGGTTGCAAAAGGTCATCCCATGACGCTGGGACATTGCAACCGTCATAAATATGAGTCAGTTGTCAAGCGTCTGAATATTGATTACGTGACCATGAGGATGCTGCTACGGTCGTAGGTGTGAAACGTGGCTATAAGTGACCTTTTTCAGTACCATTGTAACTTTGAATGGTCACTAACCAAACTGTTATAAGTTGAGGACTGCCTGCAAGTACATTTCAAAGGGAGAAAGAATGGAATATAAATATTTTCCAAGATTTGTAGCTTTTACTTCTCTGCTGCCAAGCTTGATGAGATAATTATGGCCATGACCACAGTAGAAATTATGGTGGAATTGCTGGGCCATCAGAAATACAATGATTTCTTCTTCTTTTCATCTTGCTATTTTAAAGTACTCCAAGGAAGGAGAAAAAAAATGAGTTGTTTTCTTTAATCAGGGATGGAGAACTTTCTTTTATTGAAGATAATATTCCTGTAGAAGTCAGGCTCTAGAGCAGAAGTCCAGCAAATGGCACATTGTCACAAGCGAACATTCTGCAAATTCTGTGGGTGGTCAGAGAAGGAAAAGGTTATTTGAATTACTTACTTGCAGGAATATCTGTGAGGGGGAAAGATGGTCAAAAATGATTGTGTGGTCATAGCCATCTTTTTTTTTTTAACTCCCCTTGCCAGATGTTCCTGAAATTGCTTGCAAAAGAACTGGAAAATTAAGTAGAGGCTGCAGATACGTTTCAGGAATGTAGATAACTGAATAATATAGAGTAACAGATTTGGAAGGGACCTTGGAGGTCTTAGTCCAATCTCCTGCCAGACAGGAAACCGTATACTATTTCAAAAAAATGGTTGTCCAGTCTTAAAAACCTCCAGTGATAGAAGTTTTACAGACAAGTCATTCCACTGATTAATTGTTTTAACTGTCAGGAAATTTCTCCTTAGTTCTACGTTGCTTCTCTCCTTGATTAGTTTCCATCCATTGCTTCTTGTCCTGCCTTCAGGTGCTTTGGAGAATAGCTTGACTCCCTCTTCTTTGTGGAGGGAGGGATGCCTTCATTTTGAGAAGTTGTGCATTGCTCATCAATTTGGGCTCTGAAGACATAAGTTTGGCTAAGCCTTCAGTGACTTTTCTGATATTTCAAATGAAGCAAATTTAGTCCACCGATATTTTGATATATGTCTTTTATTTATGATAACCAAGGAAAGGTATACAAACAAATGTATGTCAATCCAGTAATAAAAAGAGTGGACTAATTCATATCATTGTACTGAATTAGTGCCATTATTGTAAATTTGCCAATTTACATTAAATAATAAAATTAAATAATCATATTTGAAATTCCACCCTGATTGACTGCAGAGAAATGTAACATAATTCACCCACTGAGCTTCTTTAGACATGCAAAGGCCCCTTTCTCTTCCAGATAATTTTTTCCCCCTCCAAGGCTGAATGCAGGCAACACTGGTTCTGCGAAAGGCAGTTGTGCATATTGCTGGCTGGCTGACTGAATTACAGTTCTCCTTTGACTATACTACTGTACTTTGCAAAATGTTAAGAAGCTAGGCAAGCTGATGCAGCAGACCGACCTTGGCTGCAGCTGTATTTAAATGTTATGCTTTTATGCAGCCAGAAATCCCAAGAACTTCATCATTTTCAAAAATTCTGGGGCTCATTAATAGTATCGTCGTCGTCATCATAGAAGGTAACTTCAAACTCCGAATTCTTGGATTCTCCCAATTCAGTAGTCTGGAAGGGCACACACAAAAAAAATGGTTTTTCAGACAGGTTGGATAAAGGCTTTGACAGCTTGAAAAGTAAAATGCAATCAAGGTCTTGAACGGAAATGTGAAATGCAGAAATAAGTCAATGAGTTCCTGTGGTTTTTGAGACATGTAGACTAGAACATGAGACTACAAGTTCCCAGGATTTTCTGCACCTGAAACTTTGAGGGGAAGGTTAAGCAAGACATTGGTTTTTGACCCAATGCAAGCAGTAGAAGGTAAAAAAAAAAATCCAAGACACAGCTGCAGAAAACTGAAGGTAACCTTCCCTAAGAGTTTTGGGTTGCAACCTGCAACTGATCCTTTCTGAGCGAAAGGAGGCAGGGACAGGAAGTCATGCCCCTGGTTCATCCCAGCTGGTGAAGATTGACAGTGTTTTTTTCCCCCTTCAGCCACTCATGTGGGAGCAGGGAAGCTGAGGCTGGTTCAGTCTTATATGAGATCCAGTTTGGTCTAGTGGTGAAGGCATTGAGCTAGAAAGCAAGAGACTGCGCGTTCAGGTCCCGCATCAGGAAATGAAATCCGGCTGGGTGACCATGGGCCAGCCATTCTCTCTCAGCCCAACCCACCTCGTAGGGTTGTTGTGGGCAAAATAGAAGGAGGAAAGTGTGTTTGCTGCCTTGAGTTATTTGTAAAAATAATAAAGGTGGGATATAAATAAATAACAAATAAGGATGGATGCATGGATGCATGGATGGATGAATGCATGAATGCATGGATAGATGGCCAGGCTGGCTGGCTGGCTAGGTTTTGGTTTGCTGAGTGTGATGCAGAAGCATTTTGGAGGTCTGGACCAGTTGGGTATCTAAAGCAGTGTGTCATATGGTTATATGACAGATCACGTCAATCTGAAGGACGGGGAGCCTTGTGTAGGAAGAAGGCAAGCAATAATATCATGATGGTGACTGGCAATCACTCTGCACTGGTACTAAACTCACAAAGCAAAACTTTTAAACATTATTCCTTAGCTTGGTGGCCTCTATATGTATTGATCAGCAGTCTCTATCCCAGGGGTCTCCAAACCTGACAACTTTAAGACTTGCAGACTTCAATTCCCGGAATTCCCCAGCCAGCATGGCTGGCTGGGGAATTCTGGGAATTGAAATCCACAAATTTTTAAGTTGCCAAGATTGGAGATCCCTGCTCTATCCCTAGCAATTAAGGGAAATGTGATCCAAATTAAGAACACCTGCTCTTGACGATGTATCCTACCCTTCAACACCAATGAGCTTTTATCCATTTTTAAGAGGAACAATTTCAGGAATACAATTCATACCTCTGGACTTCTTCTCTACCACTTCCTCTAATTTATCTCCATAACTGAATATCTGAAAAACCGATTACCAGTTCCTTGGGAAATATACCAATATTTCTGGGCCTATACACTGATTATTGCATTCTGTATTAAAAAGAGAGAGTGATGGAGGAGAGGGTGAAGACAGCTTTGGATACCTGTAAAGGTTGGTCCTCTGTGCAGGTCACCTCTGGTTTGACTGATGGCTCCCAGGGTCTCACATAAACTAAGGCATGGCAGGACATCAGTTCCTGTCAGCCAAACAAAACAGAAACGCAAATGCTCATTTCTTGTAAAATACTGGCATAAAAATAAAATACAATGTAGAATAATTCTGTTTTGACTGGCATTTTGGAAAAATGTTCTCTTTTCCCAAATGCTGATCATTTTTAAAATTTGTTTTCTGAATAGTGGTTTTTTATCTATGATTTCTTTCTTGGAGGAACAGGAATTCATTCAAAACATTGAGGCAAGGATGTTCTGATCCAGAATTAAGATGCTTTTTAATCCAAGGCCAGACAGATAACTCAAACAAAGATGATTCCAAAACAGATATTTAATTCAGAAGGAAATACTTGCAGTTGTGGTTGTTGCTTCTGGATAATACACATCTGTTCATCTTTATTAGTGGTAAAATCATTAATTCCTCCACATCAACTTCTTACGTGGAAGGGGACCATCTGAGTCCTGCGGTGGCCCCATGCTTAACTCAGACAAAAGCATTCCCAACTGGCACATGGCTAGGATATCCTGTGATGAGCTCAGAAACTCCTCCTACAAATCTGTTAACATGGGATTGCTGACTAGCTAAACTACATTACCCATAAGCCATCTCTTAAGGAGACAGCACTTAACCCAATAAATGCCAAACATTCTAACATACAGATCTACATGCTCTAGTCAGGGTTACACAATCCAGAACAAAGGAGTATAAATTAAAGCCATAAAATCATGACCTACATCTGTGTATATGTGATTGCGCATGTTTGTGCACGCATGCAAAAAAACCCATCCCCAGTGTGGGATCTTGGGCTTTCCAACTGATTCAACAGCAAGTTGAGGCAAACTGGAGCACAGATCTGCTTCACTTAATTATAGCCCAATACTAAACCAAGTAATGAGTCCAGGTAGATTAAAGTGGGCATATTGGGTGAATGAGGCCATCCTTTTAATCTTATGGTTTGTTTGGGCACCGGCGTTTTGTTAACTTGTGTTTAGATCTTGAGTAGACCTACATCACATTGTCTTAGCAGAAAGATTACCTCAAGATTATCTCAAGGCTTAGTATGCATCCATAGGGAAGTGCAACATTTCCCACCAATGTCCTGTTTCAAGAATCTGCTTCAAAATTAACTCATTCCCTTAAGTAAAATATTCCTCTTGAACTAATCCTAGTGTCTTACCCCGCCTTTCACAGCAGTACAGTTGTTCTCATCTGGCTTCTCAACTTCAGTCTTGGAGCAATTTGTTCTCTGAGTTTTGAAGTCAATTCGATATACGTGTCCAACCAGCATCTGAAATTCAAGGAGAAAAATGATTAGCAACTGTATTTAGACTGGATGCTGAATATCATAAACCCACGAAGAACAAAAAAACTTGGCTTGCTGTCTGGTTAGTTCATGTTGGATTCAATGGCCCCCAATTCTCTAGGATTCTAATAAAAACAAGCAAGTGAAACAGGCAAGGAAAAATGTGCTGCAGCTGCCAAAAAAGCCAGCACAGTGCTAGGCTGCATCAACAGAGGGATAGAATCAAGATCACATGAAGTGTTAATACCACTTTACAATGCCTTGGTAAGGCCACACTTGGAATACTGCATCCAGTTTTGGTCACCACAATGTAAAAAAGATGTTGAGACTCTAGAAAGAGCAACAAAGATGATTAGGGGACTGGAGGATAAAACATATAAAGAACGGATACTGGAATTGGGTGTGTCTAGTTTAATGAAAAGACATGATAGCAGTTTTCCAATATTTCAGGGGTTGCCACAAAGAAGAGGGAGTCAAGCTGTTCTCCAAAGCATCTGAAGGCAGGACAAGAAGCAACGGATGGAAACTAACCAAAGAGAGAAGCAACCTAGAACTAAGGAGAAATTTCCTGACAGTTAGAACAATTAACCAGTGGAACAACCTGCCTCCAGAAGCTGTGAATGCTCCAACACTGGAAGTTTTTAAGAAGAGACTGGACAACCATTTGGGTTTGGTATAGGGCAGGAATGTCAAACTCGCGACATCACATGATGTCATGTGACATATCAGGACTTTTCCCCCATTGCTGGCAATGGAGTGGGCTTGGTTTTGGCATGACACAGCCGGCTCGTGGGCCGGCAGTTTGACATGCCTGGTATAGGGGGTTAAACTAGATGACGTCCAAGATCCCTTCCAACTTTATCATTGTCATCATCATCATCATCATCATCATCATTTATTATTATTATTGTTGTTGTTGTTATTTTCCCTTAGAGGCATATAAGAAACTGTCATGGATCAAATAAAACCACTGATGCTCATGCCCAATATTGTTGATGTTCACCAGTAAGACACTCTAAAGTTTGAGTCGGGAATCTTTCTCATGTTTACTGGAGTTGCCTAGAGCTCAAATTGAAATCTTCTGCCACACAAATATGTGCTTTATCAGACTCATCATCTACCAACACAATTTCTGCATGCTTTCTCAATCTGGTGTCTCCAAGCTACATCCCTAGTTGACCCACCCACCTATTTGGGGGAAATTCAAACATATAAATCATTGGTCTTCCATTACAATATCAACTTTGTACGAGGCCAGCTGAATTGGGAAAAGAGGCAAGCTCAAAAGATAATTCTCTACCTCAAACCGTTTTTTTTTTTAAAAAATCTATGTTGAAATACAGTGGTAGAGTCAGAATTCACACCTTTCCTGATATTTTTGTTATTTCCACAATTTTGAAATAAAAGTCACTGCTGCTTTTAAGGTTAAATAATTTCACAACATCTTCCAGAGGCTTCTTCAGTTCTTGACTGTCTGCAGCAATCAGGCTGTGGCAACCAGGACACTCTTGAGCAAGAGATCTCCTATTGTCTTCAGCTATTGAAAATATATAAATAAAAACACAGGGTTTATATCGGGTTATTCTGAAAAAGGAAAAAAAAATACAAGAATGGCAGCTTGCATCGATCTTATTTTTTGAAAGAGATTAATGAACACATTTGGCCAATGCAAAAAATTGTACGAGTGCAAATTGTTCTGTAGCAATTTGGAGTTTGTTAGTGGTGGTTATTATCTATGGTTTCATCAGGGCTTCTAATTTGTGCATATAAAAAGAATGCTTTATTCCATTTCACTATACAGTGCTGCCCATTATCAAAAATGGCAGACAGCATTGTCCTTCCTTGAGCCAACAAAGTGCTGAAGCTATGCAGTACTTCCAAGAACCGCTGAAAATTGGTGAAACAGGCTGTATATCAAAAACACGTGGCATCAAGATGTTGCCAGCTCAAAGAAGAAGAACATTGATCCCAATTTCAGCAATATAGCCTGTTCATATTTAAGGGTCGTCCATTCCCTTTTAAACATTGGGGTTTATTACATCTAACTTTGCACATATGGTAGTTTGCACATTCATATAAAAAGTGAGTCTAGTCCCAGCCAATATATGTTTGGCTTGTATAATCTTGCTAGACAAAAAGATGCACAGCACCCTACTCCAACTCTACCCTCCTGGTGACCAAGTCTATTAGGACTATAACTCCCAGAATGCCTTTCCAGTATTCTTCTAGCTATGAATTCTGGGAGTTCTGAATACAACGTATAAGGTAGGAATGTATAGGGTTGTAGTGCAGCACTTTTAAGGGGCAAAATGATTTTTTTTACAGTTTAAAAGTTAAGGTTTAAGGTCACCATTCAGCCCTTAATCATTCTCCAAAAATTCAACAAGCCCAAACAATTTCCCCTGCACATTCTATTTCAACAATATGCAATTCCTTATTTTTCAGCTGAGCGATTCACTTCTTAACTGTAGTCTGGCTCATGATGAACTGAGTTACAGACTGGAAATTGAAGCTCGGGTTACTGTGGTACCATCCTTTCCTGACTCCACCCCCCCAAAGTATTGGTTTAAATCTGGTCACTGATTTTTTTTCTCCATTATTATCAGGAGCAAGGTAGAAAAAGGGTGATTTTTCAGAATGCTAACTTAAAAATTTACTTACCTGGTTTAATTTTGCAATTTTGTTCAATGGAGGTAAATTGTTGTGACTCATTAATGTCAATTACAGCTGTGCAGGTTCCACAGTGCTATAAGAAAAGCAAAAAGAGACATCAATTTTAACTCTGTGTTAAATATCAGGAGTTGTGTAAATCCACTTTCCATTGTTAAGAAACAGAACTTATCACTTTCATAGCCTTTAATATGAAGTGCCTATCTTCATTCCCTTATATGTATTATTCTATTACATTATCTCTGGATCCTATTATGCTCTTATATATCCTTCTACTATTAGTTGACCAGGAAGGGGGAAAACAGAAAGAACAAGAGAGCTATAGAATGTAGACTAAGCCAGGGCTCCTTAACCTTGGCAACTTTTAAAATTTGTGGACTTCAACTCCCAGAATTCCTCAGCCAGAAAAGCTGGCTGAGGAATTCTGGGAGTTGAAGTCGACAAGTCTTAAAGTTGCCAAGGTTGGAGATCCCTGGACTAAGCCGTCAATTGGCATCATTTAGAGCTGATCAATGGAAACACTCATAGAAACATCTATCATGATTGCATGGCTGGTACTAATAAACAGGCCTTCATTTCCTTGAGAAAGGAACCGATACATCTCAACAGGAAGAAAAGGGATGAGGGCGCAACAAAGTATTAAAATTTGTGGGAATCATCACTATGATCATGGTATGACATGTTTTTGGAAAAACTGAAATTTTTCTCACAAAAAGCTATTTGGAAAACCTGTGATGTCCTTGGTGTTGTCTGAGCTTGGTTGTTTTCTTGCAGACATTTCATTATCAAACTAGGTAACATCATCAGTGCTAGAAGGGAGTATGTTTTTCCCCCTCATTTTATATACTGGTAGCTTGTCTTGCAATGTTTGCGGGAGTGTTTTTGACTGGGCTGTTGTTTATTGTAAGATTGTTTTATCTGAGTTGGTAGTTCCTTGATTAGGATATTGTTGCTTCTTGATTGTTGGTCTGGTGTTAATCGTGCTGTTAATTTCTGCTTCTTTGGGTGTTGATTGCTGGTGAGATCTTTTGATCTTTTCGTTTCCTTTTGGACTGTTTGATTGTCTCTTTTAAATCTACCTATGATTCAAAAAAGCTGCAACCCTGAGCCGTAAATATTCTCTTTTCTTTATATTTGGAATCTCGCAAATCTTTCACCCATTGGGACACCAATGTTTCACTTATGGTTTTTTTTCCCCCTGTGGGCACGTACGTTTGTGTTAGTGGATATGACAGTGGTGGTGACCCTATGGCACGCGTGCCAGAGGCGGCACTCAGAGCCCTTTCTATGGGCATGCATGCCGTTGCCCCTGCCCCACCTCCGCCCATGGCGCCCTCACCAGCAGCCCCCCCAGAGGAGTCGCCCCCGAGCGTGGCCCTCGTGAAGCAGCGCAGCCAAGGACATGGCAGCTGAGCAGGGGGGACAAGACTGCCCTTGCACCCCGTTGCAGAGTTGATGCTGTGGGGCACAGGCGGAGGGCGTGGCCGCCATGGCGCTGCTGGACCGCCTGCGGGATCTGTGGCAGGCCGTTGAGGTGGTGAGTGGCCCTGCAGGTGGGCGGGATGCGGGCGGGATGGGCAGAGCAGGGGTGGGGCCGGTTTTGGGGCACTCAGTCTCTAAAAGGTTCGCCATCACTGGGATATGAGCTTGCAAATATGGTCTAATAAAGTAGTTCGAAGAATTTTATGAAAACAACATCAGTTTCTACACATCCAGTGCAGAGTTTGTGTCCCCCCAAAAATCCTATTTCTAACTCAATAACTTTCAACTTTGCTGGAGGTCATCACCCCTCATCCTGGACTCCAGTCAAGAAAAGAAACCTAAACTCTCTCCCCTCCTCCCCCCCACCTAACAGAATCTGATTCTTTCCTTCTATTGGTCTTCAGGGGTCAGGTGACTTTCTCTGGGCCTGATAGGCAGGATTGTTATTGAAAGGGCCAACTGCTCCTCAATGCAGACTTGCGTACAGGCTCAACAGTCATTGCTTGGGGGCCCGGGGAATTCTGGGAATTGAACTGCACATGTCTTCAAATAGCCAAATGTGAGAAATATTGTTATAGGCAATGCATCTAATTGTACTAAAAGGGGTCAACTTATTCTCCAAAGCACCCAAAGGCAGGACAAGGAACAATGGATGGAAACTAATCAAGGAGAGAAGCAACCTTAGAACTAAGGAGAAATTTCATGACAGTGAGAACAATTAATCAGTGGAACGACTTGCCTCCAGAAGTTGTGGGTGCTCCAACACTGGAGGTTTTTAAGAAGAGATTGGACAACCATTTGTCTGAAAGGATATAGGGTTTCCTGCTTGAGCAGGAGGTTGGACTAGAAGACCTCCAAGGTCCCTTCCAACTTTGTTATTCTGTTATACCCATCACTGAGGCTGGTGCCAAAACACAGTTTCGCTTCAAGTTTTATATTAATGTATTTTTTGCCTGGTTGCATAATGGCGTCTTTTGCCTCGTTGCATAAAGTGATCCTGGCAGCTTCATACTGTAGACCAGACATGTCAAACACAAGGCCCAGGGGCCAGATGCGGCCCGCGAAGTGGTTTCATGTGGCCCGCGAAGCCATCCTGGAAACAGTGACGGAACGGCCCCTATTGCCTTGGCTCTGGCCCAAGCCAGCTGGGAGCCAATGTACAGTTTTGTGGTGGCCATCTTGGCACTTGCCCCAGTGGACCATGCCTTGGCACTTGCCCTGGTCCCACCCCCTTCTGCCAGAGACCCTCAGATCTGTCCCACTCCTGCCCAGGCCCCCCATAGGCACCCTTGATGCGAATGATGTAGAACTGGCCATGCCCACCCAGTACACCACACCCACTCCATCCACGCCCACCCAGTAGGCTGCACCCACTCTGGCTACCCCCCCCACCCCCCGCCAGGGCAACCGCAATGCTGATGCGGCCCTCAGTGAAATTGAGTTTGACACCCCTCTCTCTTTTCTCCTGCTGTCCCCCCAAACTCTTTTTTGTCACTTCAAAGGAGGAAGAATAAATACATACTCCTTTTGAGGTCCTTAAAAGATCACACTTTTGCCAAGGCTCATCCGCAGCTATTGGACACGCAGTTTCTCTTACTTGATAGATGATAAGGAATTTTTTTCCAGAATCTGCCTGAAAAGGGTACGTACATGAGTGCTGTTGCAGTTTCATCTATGTATTTATTAAACTGATATGGCCGCCCCTCTCAAACACATGATTCTGGGTGGCTGGCAATTAAAACAACATAGGAATAAAGTGAATCATGACCAATGATTAAAAACATAAATAGCATACTTTATGCCAAAATTATGCTATTCTCATTTGGTGGGCAACCCACCTGGGTGGCCCATATCCTAGTAGTTAAAAAAACCTGCCAATGGTCTGTGTACTTGCAGCATGTAATAGTTCAAAGAACCTCAGAGAAATAGTTAAAGTTGTATCAATAAAGGTCATCCTCGATTTACAACCATTTTTAGCAACCCTGCAAAGTTATAGCAGTTTTGAAAAAAGTGACTTCTAACCAGTCCTCACACATACGACCGTCATAGCATCACCACAGTCATGTGATTAAAATTTGGACACTTGGCAACCGGAATGTATTTATGATGGTCCAGCATTTTGGGGGTCATGTGGTCATCATTTATGACCTTCCCAGCCAGCTTCTATCAATCAAAATCAATAAGGGAAGCTGGATTCGCTTAACGACTGCATGATTCGTATAACTGAAGTGATTCTCTTAACAACTGTGTCGAAAAAGGGTAGTAAAATCAGGTGCAGCTCATTAAACCACCTTGTTTAGCAACAGAAATTCTAGTCCCAATTAATGGTCGTAAGCTGAGGACTATAATGGTTTTGTACAGAGCTGGGCAGCACTTTGGATTCAGAGAGGAAAAGGTATTTTCCTAGAATTATGTAGGTACCTTCCCCTATTGTATTGTGAACCCCAGGACACACCCAATTTCATTATTTTATTGTTTTATCTATATATAAAATACGAAGAGAAATAGAAATGGGAAATTAGGGGAAGAAAAAAGAGAGGGGAGAAAAAAATGTAAGGTATAAGGGAAAAAAGAAAAAAAAAGGCATTGACTTCTGACTCTTTTTTAGCACAGTACAAAATAAAAACACTCCAGCCTCAACTTTTTGCTTTTACACGTTAGTATATAACTAGCCATTTCTATAACGACAAATCTATATACTGTAACTGACAAAACCAAAGTCAAAGTTTCATTTTTTTCATCACAAGCACAAAGTCCAGAAGTGAACACACCCAATTGACTTAGGAAGCTGCCATCGGGGGCTGTGTGTGTGTGTGTACTCACAAGTTCTCAGATGGACTTCTGACCCTTGAAATGCCTGCAACTCCCTTGGGTCAATTTCAGCATTCTCAATTCATTCCATGAATTTAATTCATGGAAATCCAAGTTAGGCAATGTTAAATGGAAAACATCCAATGGTTGTGTAATATTGTGTTTTGTATAGCGATCAGCAGAATTGGGAAGGAAGATTATGCCCCCAAAATATGGGATGGCAAAATAATTATCCCAATTCTCGGGGTTGAAATCCAATCTACTTCAAAAGTACCAGACTTATGAAGGCTGTTTAAAGACATGGAAGAATTCTCCCCTCCCAAAACAAAGCTTTTTTTAAAAAATAAAATGCTTGGTTGGAATGCAAAACCCCTCACAGCTTTTGGAATTACATTGAGCTGAAGTTCAATACTTTTGGATTATATTGGGAAGGTCCACTTACTGACACTAAATTCTCATTGGAATAGCAATAGGTTCCTTTCAGCAAATCTTAAGGTAGGGGAATAGGATTGCAAAAGAGAAAAATCCCAAATCAAAGGAACTAAATACAGTAAAGGTGACTACTTCCCACGCATGTAACAATTTTTTCTTTCTGTTAGAAACATTAAATCTGGAAGAAACTTCCAGATGACCACCATTCAACGTTGGGTAGAGGATGCTGATGGTGCATTCTTGTGCAAGTTCCCAGCTATGAATTTCCCATTAATTAGCTTTTTGATGTTGTTACCAAATTTACTTACTATTCTGTAGGCATGAAGGATGACCTCGAGGGCAAATTTATTC